GTTTCTATTTCATTGATTTCAGACCCTTATCTTAATTATTTCTTTCCTTCTGCTTGTTTTGGGATCTGTTTGCTTCTTGTTTTTCTAGGAGTTTTAGCTGTAGTTGTTTAGGTCATGATTTGAGATCTTTCTGTCCTTTTGATATTGCAATCATGGCTAATAAACTTCCTCTTAGGACTGTTTGCTGTTCTATACGAGAGGTTTCAGTAAGGATGTGTTTTGCATTTTCTTAATTCCAGGAATCTTTTAATTTCCTCTTTTATTTCATCAGTGATCCATTCATCATTTGAGTAATCTGTTTTCAGCTTCCAATTGTTTGCATGTTTTTTACTGCTGTTTTTGTTGTTGATTTTCTAGTTTTAATGCATTGTGGTCAGACAGAATGCATGGGATTATTTCTATTTTCTTATATTTGCTGAGGCTTGCTTTGTGCCCTAAGATATGATCAATTTTGGAAAAGGTTCCATGGGCTGCTGAGAAGAATGTATATTGTGGCAGAAGTTGGAATGAAATATTCTGTAGAATCAGCTAGGTCTATTTGATCTATGTGGTAATTTAGTTCTAGGATTTCTTTATTTGATTTTTTTTGTTTGGATGACCTATCTATTGGTGATAGAGGGGTATAAAGTTCTCCCACTACACTGTGTTGGAGTTATATATGTTTTTAGCCGCTTCAGAGTATATTTGATGAATTGGGTGCATTGCTTTGGTTGCATATAGGTGAAAATTGTTTATTTCCTTTTGTGTATTTCCCTTTTATTAGTATGGAGTCCTTTTTATCTTTTTATCAAAGTAGGTTTGAAGTCTACTTTGTCCAAGAAAGTATTGCTACATCTGCCTATTTTCGGGGAACATTGGCTTGGTAAATCTTCTTCCAGCCTTTCACTCTCAGCCAGTGCTTATTTCTGTTGGTGAGGTGGGTCTCCTGTAGGCAACAGATTGATGGAACTTCTTTTTAATCCAGTTGGCCATCATGGTCTTTTAATGGGGAATTTAGTCCATTAACATTCAGTGTTAGTATTGATAAGTACATGGTGACCTTTGTCATGTAGTTGTCTTTGTTGATTAAGAGTTTGATTGTGTATGGCTGAACTTTTTACTCTTGCTTTCTTGCCTTTTCTTCTCCTGTGGTTTGGTTTTGTCTGCCCTTTCATGGTTTTGTTTGCTTTCATTTTCTGTGTGCAGGATTCCTTGGAGAATCTTTTGTAGTGGTGGCTTGGTGGTCATATATTGTTTTACTTTCTGCTTATCATGGAAATTTTATTGTCCTATCTATTTGAATGATAGTTTTGCTGTGTAGAGTATCCTAGGATTGACATTATTTCTAAAAGTGCTTGGAAAGACCTCATCCATGCTCTTCTTGCTTTTAATGTTTCTGTTGAGAAGTCTGCTGTGATTTTGATGGGTTTACCTTTGTATGTTATTTGTTTTTTATCTCTTACAGCCTTCAATATTCTTTCTCTAGTCTCTGTGCTTGTTTTTAATGACAGTATATGTGGGATAGTTTATTTTGGTCAGGTCTGTTTGGTTTCTGGAGGCTACCTGTACCTGACTGGCATAGTTTTTCTCTAGAAAACTGTTGGTTTCTCTTCAGATCGTATATCTTTGCCTTTAACTAAAGATTTTGTGGAGAGGAAAACTGTTTTTTGTGTTCATTTATGAATTCCTTTTGCTTGCACCTCTTCTCTTCTTCATGCCCATGTTCTCAGTTTGGTCTTTTGATGGAGTTGGTGAGTTTTCTTGCATATTCTTTCACAGGTCTTGAGTTGTTTAACTAATAGTTTCATCAGTTTTCCCTTCAATTGCCATTTCATCTTCAATTTCTGAGATTCTGTCTTCTGTTTGTTCTATTCTGCTGGAATGGCCTTCCATTTTTTTTTGTATTTCTGTTTCATTATTTTTTCTGAGGTTTTCCATATCATGGGTTACTTCCTCTTTAATATTGCCAATTATTGCCCTTAATTTGTTATCTCTCTTTATGGTGGTGTCTGTTTCAGTTTGGTTTCATTTAAGGCTTCTATAATTTCATTTATTTGTTTTTGTGTTTTCTCATATTCTTCATTTTTATCCTCTTGAATTTCTTGAGTGCCTCCTGTACGTTTTGGTTGACCATGTCTAGTAACATCTCTATGAAATTGTCATTAATTACTTGTAGATTTCTTCTTTCAGAGTGTTCTTGTGGGCTTCACTGGGTTTCTTGGTATAGTTTATCCTTTGTTTTGTTGGAGTCTGGGTGTCTGAGTATCCATTTTCTTCATTCGCTCTAATCTTATCTACTTTTTTTTGGGGGAGAATGTTTTCCTTCCTTTTTCTTCTTCCCATATTTCCACTAGGTAAATGTTTTCTATCCCTGAACATTATGTGTAATTTAGTAATTAGCTGGGTAGCAATATTAATACTAACAAAACCAAGAAAGAAGGATAAAAAAGAAGAGAGATTGAAAGATGAAAAGAATAGAAAGGAAAGAGAAAAAAAGAGTGGTAGAGATGGTGGATGATCAACAGTAAACCAGGCAGCAAATCCCTTAAAGAAGGTCAAAAAAAAATCACCAGTTCTGGAACAGTAGAATTGCAGTCTTAGTTGCTCTGATGTTAGTTCTTTAGCATCCAGACAGTCTGTGTGTGTCTCTTAAGGTATGGTTTGGAGCTTCCTTGTGGGCAAGCGATGGTGGATGGGTTCCCACAGACGCTATGGGTGGAGGCTTTAGCTGAGGTGGAGGATCGGAGATCCAACGGGGTAATGGGAGCAGTGGCTCTGTGGGCCTATGGGGCAGGGATTAGTGTTGCAGTGCTATTGCATTTTAGTATATGGTGGTGTGGAGAGGCCTCCCACAGCCTAGGGGTTTCAGAGTGCTGATGTTGCTGCTCTCGATCTGATGTTTTCACCTCAAGTCAGCAATGTCTCCAGCTTCTTTATCAAGTCTTTGGATCATGGAGGTCAGAAGGTCTTGTGGCTGTGTTCTGGTTGCCATCTTGAATCCAGTTTAAAAAAACATTTCAAAGGCAAGGTGGCAGAGCTCACACCTCTGATCTCAGGAGGCAGAGATCAAGAGGATGATGGTTTAAGATAAGCTCAAGGCAAAGTCGTTGAGACCCCATTTCCAACAAACAAGCTAGTGCATAAAGTGGTAGACAATGCAATTCCAACTTTGGTGGGAAGTGTAGGTAAGAGGGATGTAGCTTGAGAGGCCTGGCCCTGTGCAAAAAACTTGATGACCCTGGTGGAGTGGGTTAAGTGGTAGAGCTGCTTTTTAGGCAAGTGTGAAAGGCCCTGTATTCAAACTCCAGTTCTGCCATAAAAGAAAAAGAAAACCAATTTGAGCGGCTATTTAAAAATTAACTAAAGCAAAAAAAGGGCTGGGGCATGGATTTAAGTGGCAGAGTGACCTGCCTAAACAAATGTTTGTGAGGCATTGAGTTCAATACCAAAGTAACTGCCAACAAAAAGGAACTTTCCAAAATAATATCTTAAGAACTCAGCACAAGGAGTTACTTCTGTTACTGAAGTATTAGCAAGATTATTTTACTATATTTAATGTAAAATATTCTAAATCAATAATTAAAGTTTTTTGTATTTAATAAAGAAATTATAAATGAAAACCTAAAAATTCCTTTTTAAAGGAAAGTAACATAAAGATTTTTGAAAATTACCCTGCCTCAGTATAACACGCTAAAGAGAGATTTGTCTAGGTACCGATTTAGTTATCCAACTTTGCCCTCACTAACATTGGAGGAAGGTAACAATTTCTTGAGACAAAGAGTATGAATAACTAATCTAATATATT